TTTTTGGCTGTGAACATAATTGAATCAGGTGGTGAACTCTGTATAAGAGAAGTATTCTTCTCCTTACTTGTTTCTGCCTTTTCTGATTTTTCCTTTTAGGCTCACTGCTTAATTCCCTGCTGTTTTGGTATATTTGTATTATATTATTTATTTTTTGTTGTTATGTTTATGTATTGTTGAAGATATATTTTATGCCTAAGTTTTCTCTTTTGTATATTTTGAAATACATATAAAGGTTAATATGTTTATTTCTTGTCTTCTCTTAATCTTATTACCCAACACATCCTTCCTTCTGGTTGTGGGAGACTGGCTGGCACTGTGCCCCTACATCTCTTCGATCTCTCTCTCAGTGGAACCAGTCACTGTTTCTGTCCATTCAAACACCTCAACACCCCCCCACCTCAGGATCTCAGAAAGAAGAGGTAGTATGTCCATTTCTTCTCTGGCGGAAACTGGAAAGGTTTCCCTGCTATCTGACCTTTCTACTGCCATCACCACCACCCTCTGTTCCAAAAGAATTAAAATTATTTCTTCTGCACAGATGTCGAAAGTACAGGGGAAAAGGAAGGCGGGGATTCAAAATGCATTTTTTCTTGCAATAAAAACTGACTAATCACTTCTCTTCTCTGAAGGTGAAATATCATCAGTAATTTTTACTCTGACTAATCCTGTGTTCTTATTATTCTATCATATCCTTGGACTTTTGAAAAATAAAGAGTGAAGGAAGTTTCTCATATGTTAATGGCTGGTTTTAATATACTTCCAAACTTCATTTATTTATATGATTTATATCACTGCCTATCTCACATATGGGACTCTGGGTGGCTTACAATAAAAATAGATAAAAACTAAATGAAACATATAAAATATAAAATATAAGACACACAGTAGCCGGAATCCTAAAACAATTGTTTACACAGCCAGGAGTAACACAGCAAGTTTTCAAGGCTTGTGGAAGGCCAGCAGGATCGGAGTCAATCTGATCTCTAGAATGATGATGTTCCAAAGGGTGGGCACCATGGCAGAAAAGGTTCTCCTTCCAAAAATAGATTTATTTCATCTTTTATCTGCTTTACACACTATTTAAAATATCAATTATTTTATAATCCAAATTTTCAGTTAAGATGGGGAAGGTTTAAAAAAAATTAAAAGTCCCTGGAAAAAATTCCCATGTCTTTCCAGTTTTATTCTGAGACTTTAGATCTCTAGGAAAGTTTCAAGTAGGAGAAAAATCCATTCGATTCTCCATCTGGAGAATAATTTATCTATAAAGTTGGATTAATTCAATTCTTATGTGCTTCTTTGAAACTTAAGGCAAATTATTTTCTCATCTCACTCCACTGCACAGCAGACCTGGCAGATAAATCATAACTATTCTTGTTTTATAGATGAGGAAACTGAGGATGAAAAATAACAGCTTGTTTTAGATTACAAATTAGAACTGTGGCTCAGGGTCTAAGTCTAATATTAATTTCATAGGTTTTCACTAGTTCATGGTAAATGTTGCTTCAGATCCAACAATTATTGTCCCAAATCCATGAAAACAAAATATTAAGGGATAATACAGGAAAACCTCAATTTTATAGACTAGTATTTCTCAACTTTGGCAACTTTAAGATGTGTGGACTTCAACCCC